TAGGGAAACATCTCGATCACGGGTCTTTTCCTTGTCGGATTCGGGTGGAGACTTGCGGGAAGACTTCTCCTCTTCAATTATGTCCTCGATGGGAATCTGGAATTGTGTTCATTAGAAGGAAAGGCTTAAAGTGAAGAGGGTGACCCACATCTGGTGGACGAACAGGATTCAGGGGGGCCATAAACTGGACCAACTTGGTGGCTAACTGATGCCACATGATCGAAGCTTCGCAATAGGCACATTCTGCCACCTGTTAAAAAAGTGCATGGGGCTTGAAAATATAAATTTATAAAATAAGACTGGTGGCAGACATCACCTTTAAGGCGCAGACATGACTGCTGAGTCCCACTCGGGCAGCGGTTACCATGCACTTGATCAGTCTGGAGACATTTTCGCAAACGCTCGTGTGGATGCCCATGTGCTGCTCCACATCCTGCAGTTCCATTTGCTTCAGCAGGATGTCCAGCATGAGGATGCAACAGGTGAGGTTGTGCTCGGCATCCGTTGAGAACTCCGTGTGACGATTGGTGGGAGCCTCATCATCCGAGATGGCGGACGTGTTGCCCGAGTCGTCCTCGACGACAGGAGCTGTCGCACATTTAAATACTTTACTTAACAAGCTGTCTAGAAAATACTTACAAATGGAACTGCGCCTGGGTGGATTGGCCATGTCCGCCTTGGTCTCCTTGCTCTCTTTACACGGCGTCTTGGGAGCCTTGGCCAGGGATTGGGATTGGGCATCCTTCTCGCGCATCAGCTCGTGCTGGATGCCATATTTCATAATGCGAACGCCGTCGCCAAACATGGCGAATAACTGCACCAGCGGAATGAGGATCTCCAGCTTGGTGAGGATCTGCAGCCAGTGGAGGGCCTGCTGCTGCACCTTGGCCGTCGTCTTTTCGAACCGAATGGCCACAAAGTTGTACATGGTCTTGGCATCAAAGCCCAGCGGAGACATTTCCGGATCGAGGATCTTGCTGAGCACAATCTTCAGCTCGTTGAGCTCCTTCTCGGCCACGTCGTTGGTGATGGCCTCCATCCAGTGGGGCATCACATAGTCCCAGATCTCGGAGGTGATCACCTCGTACGGCACCAGGCAGATCAGCCTCTGCAGACCCTCCTTCAAGTGGCTGGTTCGCGAGGCCAAGGTTTCCCAGTGGCCACCGACGCGGGCATACTCGGGGGGATGGGGCAGCAGGCAGGAGATGAAGACGTTGTAGTGGATGCGGCAGATGTCCTTCAGCCAGTCGCAAACATGCTCCACTTTTAGCTTTTCAATGGTGCTCTCCACTTGTCCAGCAGCTAAAAGAAAATTGGTTAGTTTTTAGAGATAATTTAATGCATGATCTTTAGTCACCATCGTAGGAGTAGGCGGTGACGTGGAACCAGTGAAAGAGCATGCTCAGGATCCTGCCCAGCACCTCGACAGGAGTGTCCGCGGTGGGCGTACAGCGGCCCACCAGCAACCAGATGCCGTAGCGGCCCAACCGCTGGCGCTCCTCCAGCGAAATGTTGTCGGCCGTGAGCGGGGAGCCGTTCTTCTTGGACTCGGACGACAAGGACTCCTTGCCGGGCTCGAAGTTCAGCGGCTTGGCCTCTCGCAGCAGGCTCACCACCGACTCGACCATGTGCATCTGCATCTCGGGGTCCATCTGCCAGGCGGGCTGCAGACTCCGGTGCACCACGTGGTCGCCTCCTCGCCGGGAATTGTGCCTGTTGCTGTGGCACTGGCTGCAGTAGCGGATCGGGTGGTTGCCATTGAAGCTGGCACACTCCGTGGAGAAGCAAATGGAGAAGGCCGCCTTCTCGTTGGAGCGGCAGTTCTTGTTCTCGCAGACCATCGACACCTGCTGCATGGGATGCAGGATGTCGCCGAACTCTAGGCTGCCGTGCTCTCGGTGGATCTCGTTGGCGCACTCGATGCACAGGTACAGGGGCGGCGGACAGTCGGGGGCGTAGGCGATGCTGATGCTGTGGTCGTAGCACACCTTGGCAGCCTCCGCGTTTCCGGAGTTCGGACAATGCTCCCGCTGACAAGTGAAGGGCACCAGATCATCTATTCGGGGTGAGAAATGAATATTATTAGGACTTAGTTTAATGAAAATCATTTACCACTTATTAATTTATTTTCACCGCATTTTTCTATGAAATAATTAGTTGATGTTCATTTAAAATGTTCAGGATCATAAAGCTATATTAGTAGTATTCAGTAAGAAATAATTAGCCAGAAGACTTGGATGTACATATCCTTACAATTTAAAACAGTTAATCATATTGTGAACTATTTCTTATTAAGTTTTGTAATAACTTTTAAATATTTTAAGAAATATTTATTAAACAAAATTAAAATATATATATTCTAATTTAATATTTAAGCATTCCCAACTACCTACTATAAAGTTATTACAAGAGGTCATTTGTAGCAGAAAAGTAATATCCAAATGTATAATTCTGTATGCAGCTATTTTCGAATGGGCTTGAATTTCCAGTTTACCCATATTCCTTAGGATATTGGTTATTATAGTCTACAAACAATCCTTAACTCACTGGTTAGTTTGGAGAGCAATACTTTGCGATCAAAGAGATTGGCGTTGAAGGCTGGCCAGTAGTAGAAGAGCAGCTTGGCAGCCGAGGTTCGGGAGACAGCGGTGCCGTAGGCCACCACGCAAAGGATGTCCTTGACCACATTGTGTTTGAGGGTCATCAGGCACTCCAGCAGCTGGCAGTGGTGAGCAGGATTGTTGGAGTACTGCAGCACCATCATGATGACGGAGGACACTGACTGACAGGCCTGGCATTCCTGCTCATCGGAGCTGCGACGGGCTGTATATTCAAACATATAGATTATCAAGGAACAGTATCCTGGAACATTAACTGTTACTCACTTATAGTAAAAGGCAAGATATAGTAGCATAGAGCGTTGACAATGTCCTGGTGCAACGCTGGCGGTAGAACAGATATAGTAGAGCTGACCAGATAGGGTAGGTTATCGATAAGATCTTTGTCGAGAAAGGGTAGGATGCAGCTTAGGCACTGCAATAGGGCTTTTCCGAAAACTGAAAAGAAATGGGAAACTCTTATCAATATAGGATAGCGCTCGGTCTCTATTAAAGTATCTTACCGATTTGTCCATACTGGATGCAAGGTGCCACATCGATGAGCATAGTAAGAGCATTGTAGAGGTTGCCATATTCAAGATTGGGATAGGCAGACATACGAGTGGGATCTTCAAGGGGATCGCGGATAAGCTCGTGCGGCGATGTACGCACATCTTTAAGGACAGCTGTAAATTAAATTGTTTTATTATCAGTCCTATTTAAAAATGAATACCATAATCTACAAGCTGTTCAGCAAAAAAAAATCTTAATACATTTTTTTAAATTTTAAATAAAACATGTTTATGAAAAGAGGTTCATTTGATAATATAGTAATACTTTGTAAGCTTGCTGAAAGAAATAGTTTTTAAAAATGAAGAATGGATTATGATATACAATGATTAACAAAATCCATTGGTTATCTTTACTTACTTAGTAGAGTTTGAGAAAAGTATTTGATATTGTTGGCAATATCGACGCCAGAGGGCGCAGGTAAGACGTTGTGCAATAGACGTACGTGGTATTCATGAAGGGCTCTCAGTTTTGCCTGAACTGTAAGCATGTTAACGGAAAAAAAGGCACTTGAGCACTCGGGAAAGTTGAGACTTCTGGGGACAACTTACAGGCGGCAGCGCGAGTGCCCATGTTGATGAGTTGCACCTTAAAGCTGCCAGTCATTATATCAGACAAATCCTTCGCATTGCCGAAGCTGCTGCCGAGGGACTTCGCATTCTATAATTAAGAAAAATAGCTGTTTTGTAAAAAATATTTAACGGTCCACACCCTGCATTACGTAACGCAACCCCCCTAAGATGCTACTGTTAGCAAAAGTACTTGAAATGATACCAAAATTCAAAGATAGTACTGAATTTTCATATACCACAGATGCTTTAGGAACTTAGGAATATATTTTAATAAACTTACCTCGAAATTGGTTAGTTTTTTCAATAGATTTGCAATTTTTTACGGGTTTAACAGCAAGCTACGTCCACGAAGAAAAATCTCTATAACTAAACTGAGTTTATGGTGTGTATCTGCGAAAGAATTCAGCTATCTGTTGGATGTCCGACGACCCCCTTGGCTTAAATTCTCCTCCGATTGCTACGTATAAACAATATTTAAAAGCGGTTTTAGGTAAGATACACTTTGAATATGTTTAGTAAATAAATAAGACAAGTTTTTAAGTATTATTTAGTATGAATGTAAAGGAATTTGTGTAAATTAAAGTTGAGGGGTGGGTACTTGACCCACTTTTACCACCCACCCTCGACAGCAGCCCCGGGAAACAGCTGTTCCGAAGTAGGACATGCGCATATCGCGTGTTTATCTCACATTTTCCGCACTTACCGGCCGTTTTCCAACAAGTGTTTGTTTTGGTCTAGCCGCTGTAAATATTTACTATTTCTAGCCGGGTTGGGAGTTTGCGCAGATTGTGCTCAATGTTTGTAAACAATCCTCAGCTGTTTATCCTTAATATGCAACCGGTATCTATTGGAGATTTTTCACGGTTTAATGTAGACATTTGTGTGCCCATACCCAAACGTAAAATACTTTTTATTATTAATACACAAAAAAGAAACACTTCTAAATTCATTACGGTTAGGTAATTTACCAATATTCACTAAAATGTAATGTAAGAACTAAATAAATCTTTTATAAATAGGGGGATAATTTTCTTTTAAAACCACACCTTCCAACAATTAAATACTCATTACAGAACTTAGCCAAGTTTTGGGGGTGTCTCACTTTAAGGCTTCCTGCGAAATGGAAAACCTCGAAAAAATCTAGGGGTTGTCCACCACTTTGTCTGGCTTAGGCGGCACCTTTTAACCCTAATGTTTGCAATCCAAAACACGAAACTCGTTTGGGAAACCGAAACCCCAGAATACCCATTTTAACAACCGATTTAACTGAACTTTGTGAACCATCGACGCCAAAAAACGGATGGGTTTACTGACTAGGATGATATGTCGCCAGAATACAGAGGGTTTATAGTGTGTATGTGTTTATTGTGTGGCAAGCTTGCAATTATAATTTCTGGTATTAAAGCGGAAATGTTTTATAGTTAAGTAGTAGGGGGAATATCTTGAATCCTTTGTAATTTATGGAATGTATTGTGTAGTTAAGGGCGAGAAACGCAATTGATTGATGAGCAATGGCCTAGAGGTCTGGAGAAATACTATGTGGTTTCCGAAAATATCCTAGTTGAATTGATTGACAAAAGGTGGCGCCGGCTGAACAGATTCCTCATCCTCGCGCTCCACGGTTGAAAGCTGACCGTCTTCTAATGCACTGAGAATTTCCTTCCCGCACGGCTTGTTGGTAACGCTTTTCTTGGGCAATGGCTCTGGAGGCTCCGGATCCGTACTGTACTCTTCGATGGCGGGCTGCTCCTCTACCTGGGCATTCGATTGAAATTCGGGTTCAGACTCCTGGTGCACCGGCTGCATCTCGTGCACCTCTTCCGGATCGTTCACCGCGTTCTTTTCCGGTCCGAAGCCCAAATTTTGGCGTTGGGCCTTCTGGCGATGGAACAGAATCTTCCAGTAGGACGAAATTGATGTCTTAATAGTGGGTTTCGCATTAGGTAGTGGTCTCTCCTGCTCCACGGGGTCGGGTATCGAGCTAGATTGTTCCTGACCATCTGTGAAAATAAGTTTTTAGTAATTAAAAATAAAACCTTTGCAATTCCTTTAATTACTAGAACTAATTGTCAATTTAAATTATAATAATATATTATAATAGTAGGCTTATCCGGCTCGTTCTGAATTATATACTACCTGCAACAGAAATGTCTTTTTACAATTTTTCATGAGTGGAAACAGACAGACGCACATGACTAGATCAACTCCCATGGTGAAGAATATATGTACATACTTTATAGGGTCTGAAATGTGGCCTTCATTGCGTTGCATATTTTTGAATAAAATCTTATCGGTATTAATCGAAATGAATTTGACATTTCTGATTTGTGAATTTAAGATGTTCACAATGAATATCCCTAAAAAAAGAGTCGCTTACCCTTATTGGCTCCCGTCAAGCGGGTGAAGAAACGGCTTATCGTGTTGGACTTGCCCAGCTCCTTGGGGTCCTCGGAGGAGGAGGACTCGCTCACGTCCTCCACTTGATCACGCATCTGGGGCTTCTTGCTGATTTTGAAGAAGCGCTTCAACGAATTGGACTTGGGTGTGGGGGTCACATCGGAGCCGGCCACTGGCAGACCTTCGGGGTCGGCCAGCGGAATATCTTGCAGATTGGACATGTTCGTCCACTATGTCCACTGGAATTTAAAGTATTTTTTTCAGTTTAAATATGACTCGTTTGTATACGAAATATATGATTGATATGCCTGGTGTGGTTGAACAAAGGGCTTTACGCAAAATGCTGGAAAATTCAGAGCCTACTAGTTGACATTTTCGATTAGGAATTTATCCAGCTGATTTGATCAAATCTTGGCCAATTATAACCAAATACTAGTATGCTTCCAATACGATTTACAAATCTCTTTTTTAAAAGATAATTATTAATAAAAAAAAATTAAATTAAATAATTTCAACAAATCAAAATGATTATAACACGAAAATTGTTCTTCTCCTATTAAAGCATTACTCGTTTGGTCTTGTTTTTTTGTTTCTATGTATCTTATGTATTTACTGTGGCAATTTGGCGACGCTCAGTTAACATGTGTTAACAACGACATCGAAACAGGTTTCAATTGATACGACTTTGATTTCGTTTTCTCCCCGCAATCGAACTGATTCCTTGGCCAGGACAAAGCCAAGCCGAAGCCTGCAGCCCCAGAAAATAAAAACTGAAATAAAAGTCAGAGGCAATTCATTCAATATGTGCACACAATACCCCTTGTTATTCTGCTGCCCCATTGTTTCAAATGTTCGATGTCCGATGTCCGCTGTCTGTTGTCCGGTTACTGCTGCAGTGTTCCGTTCCTGAGTTCGGCCCACCAACAAAGTGCTTTCGAAAATCAATTGAAGAACTGGTGGCGATTCCTGCTGTCGACACTGCGCCATCCCTCCAGCTCTGCTCCGATTCCCCGTTTTTCCCCTCTTCCTGCCATTGGGCACCGAAGTCCGTTAATTTATGTAGTTATGTGTTGCTGGTTGCCAGGATACCCAAAACAATGGACAATTGCTGCAGCAGTTGCAGCATGCGGAGCGTATGCCTTGTGCTTTTGTCTGGCGAAGGTGTTGAAATTCTGAAAAACAGATATGCAATATCGTATCAATTTGAATACCATAAAATACAAATTAATAAATTATAAATCACGTGTATTCCATACAACATTTTTAAGGAAAATTAAATTAAGTGAATACAGTTTTTAGTAATTTTTGATATAAATGACTACGGTTTAAGTTGTTGTGGAGAAGCCAAATTCGTTGCAGACTTACTTTGAAAACAAGAATTTACCATAACACTTGTATGTTGCATGATATTTAATTTATTTGATTTTTAACTTCAGACCCCTTAAAGTGATAGCTCTTAACCCCCTTAATTTATGTCCAACCACCCAAAAAAAGTTGATAAAAAAACCCCACCGCGCCGACAACAATGAGACATCAATAAATCATCCACAATAAAACCATAAGGGAAATGAACAAGGATAATGCAAGGGCAATCCTTTTGCCAGCCAACAGCTGCTCCACCACCCACACCGCCGAGAAGTGTGAAAATGTCAGCGGCAACGGGGAGTCATCTCCATCTCCTCCGGCTATAATGCTCGCCCATTTGTGGAGTGGGCGCCGTATAATGGCCAAAACGGAAATGTTGTTTGCAGCCAATTCATTGCCAACACACAGTTGCGAAACGGCAAACAACAAACAGCATAAACACCCCCTGCAGGCTTACGCAGCAGCAACACCACCGCTCAGATGATGAGGTGGTGCGGTGATGCGGTGGTGCGATGGTGCGGTGGAAACAATGGCAGCAGCAGAATCAGCAGAAGCTGCAACTGCAGACCGCAAAATGTTTTGCCACAACCCTTGGGGCCATGAAGCTGGAGCAGGAGCCGCCGCAGCGCTTTGGCCAGAGTTGTAGATGGAAACTCATAAGTCGGTCGTCTGGCAGACAAATCCTCAGAGCAAGTGCATTCATTCATTGGCAATAACAATCAAACTGCTGATGGCAGTACACAAGCCCTTCCTTTTTGCCCCTCTGCTCATCTCTGGATGCCATTCAACTTGTTTGCACTGCTGCTGTTGCTGCCGTCAACAGCAACAGCAACATGCAACAGCAACAGCTATGGCAACCACAAGCAACTCCATGCTGTTGACTTTAATATTTCGGTCTTCGTTTATTACAATCCCCTCAAGATCAAATAGTCTGAAAATCGTCAAAGATAGATACCGGGAAATATGCGCTCTATGTGGGAAAGGTAAACCTTAACCAGTCACTCTTGGGAATCCGATAAAGCGGCCATAAATCGTAGAATTTTTCCCCTCATTCCATCAAGTTCTCAAGTTCAATTTGGCACTGCTGTTCGGGTCTATAGATTTACCATATTTACATAGTTACCACAGAGTAGATAAGGCCGCGATAAAGAGTTCAATCGCATCGGTTTATTGGTCTTTAACGTTTGTTGTTCAATTGCCGCTTTACTGTCTGTTTTTAAATAAATAATATTGTGTAATGATAGTAATAATCCATATCTGAGCGAGTGCGAGTGAGTTTGAGTAATCATTGATTAAATAGATTTTCATTTACGACTTCACACTTTCACTTTATCGGATTCGAGATAAAATGTGACTCAATCTCGAGTCCGAAGTTGTTTATTTACCTGGCCATAATCCTCGGCAATATCCTTGGGCGAGAGAATCTTCCCCAATAAGTCACAACGCGGCAATGAAGTTAATCAATAATGGCAGTGGCCATAAATCGGATCCGTTGCAGGCGCCACTCCTCTCGTTCGATATCGGCCAGATATCGACTGATGGCTATCAAAGGCGCCAGCGGCGGCAAAACAGAATGTCAACAGTTTAATAAATAAAATCAGTCAGCAGTGCCAGCCAGATGGGTAGCCAAGACAGGCGCGCGACTGCAATTAAAAGCAAAAAAAGGCATCGAAAAGGGGCAAAGTCAAAGCCCAAGTGCGGCAAATATCGTCTCGGATCACTCACATGTTGCTGGTGTGTTGCTGCTGTTGCTCTTGTGTCGTCGTGTGCGACAGGAGCTGATTGTCGCTGGTCCCAGATCGGAATCAACAGCGGCATCGAAATCAGCGTCGACACATGCGATATTTGAGTCTCGGTTGAGAATTATGATCGATTTATTATGCGACAACCAACGACGCCAGCAGCAACATGGCCAAGTGGCTGTGACAGGTTTGGGCTTCGCTTCGGGTTCTTGGTCCACAGAATATGCGCAAGACATTGATTTTCGCCAGGTAATGAGGCAACTCATTAATCATTTTTTCGTTGCGCACTGGCTGGGGGATTATGTTGCTGTGGCGTCGTTGCTGCAACAGGCACACCGGCAACCGGCAACTGGCAAGCGGCAACAGTTGCTGCCTCTGACGGAATGTTGGCAACATGTTGAGCGTGCAGCTGCAGCAGGCGCTTCTCCTTGCATCCTGGCTGTCTCCTCTTGTTCTCTGCTTGATTTTGTTAACCTTTTGACCATTTGAAGTTATTTTTGTATGCTTTACTGCCAATTTGGTGGTCATTGGCCATTCACTTGACTTGCGCCTGTTGCTTGTCCGTTGTCTCTTGGCTGTCTGTTGCTGTTGTGTTGCAGTTGCTGTTGCTGTTGATGTTGCATTTGCTGTTGCTGTTGCTCTTGCGGTTGCTCTTTTGGCACACAACGCACAATGTCTGACAGTTTGGCCGATTGCCTGGCCCCTGTCGCCGTTGTTGTTGCTGCTGTTGCCTTGATATTGCTCTTGCGCTTCCCAATGTTGCTGTGGTCGCGGTCATCTCCTGGCTTGTGGCATAAAGGTAGTTCACTGATGTGGTTTGTTAAATTCACTGGATGCTCTTCATCTGCAGGAAGAAAGTTCCTTTGAAGATAAAAAACCCTAAATTATGATAAGATTTAAGATCTTAGCCCACATAAAAATATAAGCTTACAACATTTTAAAATTCTAAGTCAACAGATTAGATCCATCTTGTGTTACTATAGCTTCATCGGCAGTTTTTAATTTCCGACTTTTCGGTGTGGTCTACAACAATTGATTTTAACAAACTTTTCAAATGTATTTTAAAGCCCAAAATCCACTTTATTGGTCTTACAGAAAACCAAATGCACATGCTCAAATATTAAAAAGAAATTGCAAAATATATTTAAGTTTAGTAAGCCATTTGTGGCAATATGGAATAGTCGGATAATAAAAGTTAATGAAGGGTATAGAGGATGTACCTGGATGGGTATATTGCCACTTTTCTGCACTTGTCGCGCACAGTTGGCCAACTTGTAAATGCCTGTCGTTGCGGTCGTTTTGGGGGCCATTAGCCTTCGCCTTCATCTTCGGGTTAGCCACACGCACAAATCCCGAAATTCTGGCAAAATTTCTTCATTTTGGTGAGCGACTCGCTGCTGGCTGGGACCTGCAGTTGTTGGCAATTATTTATAGTTTCTGATGTATTCAATTTATTATGCAGATGGTTAGAAAGTTGCTAAATACTTGATGTACGACTCCTAACATATTGGGTGTAATTTTTCTCTGACTGGCGGAGGTAGATTGAGGGAAATCCAGTAAGATGCAGATGGGTATATTAGACATGCATGAGTTTTCCTTCAGACGCAGAAGAAAACATTCGCCTATAAGAAAATTTACGATTTTCTCACGATTACCTGCGACCACACTCACTCATTGAAGAATCTGCTTAAATCTAATTCGGTCCGTGGCCGTTCGCTATCAAAGTCCGCTTAAAGTTCATCACACTTCAGACGGTAATTAATTACGGATACTTGCAGAAAAACTCTGAAGCCAGAAGCCAGTAATTAAACATAAATAACCAAGACAACTTAATTTTGAAGGTTGGCCATTCCGCGGCCGAGTCGATCGATCGACATGCAATTCTCCATGCATTAAAGTTTAAAGGCCAGCTAGAAAAAATCCGGCAGCGGCAGCGAAGAGAAAAAACATTTTCTAATTTATTAATATGTTTAAGAGGGAAAAAATCTATTTGGCAAACAAGCCCGACTGACAGCTAACATAGATCGCCGTGGCTGGCGGAGACCATTAGAAAGCGATTAGATAGCGATACAGATACAGATACTCGATCCCCCGAAAGACATATGTAACCCACGAGCGGTCGGCCCCAGGAGCAGCGGCCAAAACAATGTCAGCCCGCTGGCCCGGTCCGCCGAACAATGGCAGCTAAACATGGCAAGTTAACAGTTTAATTTACCAAGAGACAAACAAAAAATGCCGCTGCAATGTATAGGCATCGATATGCGGATATTTAATGTGTCCGCCAGATACGTAACATAGAAAAAAGCGCGCCGCAAAAATAAAATACCGCTCTCAATCTCAGGACCTAACAAAAGCGGAGCGCGGCCAAAAAAAAGCCCAACTGCAGTTATCGCTCATTATGGATCGTGATCAATGGCGTGGAGTGTGTGAGACCCCCGAAAAAAAGGAACCCCAAGATAAACGCACACAGGAGTCCCGCGAAACAAAGGCTCCAGGTCAGGCCAACAAGTGTTGCCGGCTCTAGAGCCCACATTAAGCCCAAAAGGCAACGGTAACAATCTGGCGAACAGAGTTGGCCAAGCTTCCGCCTCGCATCCTTTTTCGGTCCTAATTTTGCATGCCCTGCTTCGAAAAGCGGAGCAGAAAGGAAATAACCAACGACCCAAGGCTAAATAACCGTTGAAGATTAGCCCAAAATATCGGTGTTGGCCGAGAAGCACTTCAAGGAGCGCTACTTTAAATTTTAAACACTTTTTATGCTTAGTTATCCCAGCAATTTGTTGAAATTGTGTGTTCAAAACACTAAATATAAGGTTAGTTATAGAAAATGTATTAATACTAAATATCTGTACTTGTATCTTTTTAAATTTGTATAAATGATAGTCATTTGTATTGTACAAAAATATTATATATTAGTGAAATTTGAACAGTTTGCTCTGTCACTTACATTAACTTATATCTTGTTATTTTTTCTACATAAATAAATATATAATCTGATAAAATAATTTTAAGCCCTCATATATGTAAAATTACACAAATTTAGTCCGGTCTTTAATATTAAATTATATTTCAGAATTTTAAAAAGTTGAACAGAAACCATTCAAACTAACATTTCTTGAACTGAGAACTTTGAATGAAAAACGAAAAAATACACTTCATTCACAAGATAAATATTTAAAAAATGTATTTTAATTTATTCAACCTTTAAGGGATCAGGTTGTGCCTCCTATGCCAAACCTTACTGCATTTCATTATGTTAATAAAGCATTTAATTAACGCACCATTTATGGCCATCAACCCAATCGAATGCAGTTTACTCTCCTGGCCTCCACCTTGCCCCTTCCGCATCCAAGTCGATCCTTTCCTCTGTTTCCTTCTCCGCAGAGATCCTCATCCTTATTCACATCTCCATTGTGGTGCGTGCAGCGTATCTGAAGGCAAGAAACTGAAAAAATAGCCGACACAGCTGCGGTTTAGGCGGCATTATGGCTAAGACCGTACACAAAATGAAAAACGCAAAACAAAAAATGCGGTAACCGCAAATGTTTTGCTGTAATTTCTGGTGTTTTTGCTTAAACGCTTCGATTCGGATTCGATTTGCTACAGATTCAGATACTGATACGGTTTTCAAGATACACTTTCAATGCTCTTGGCCTTTTACTTTTTGCTCCATCGTTAAATGACATTGAAATGAATAGTGTTTTTCTTGATGCTGCAAAAAAATTGATGCCGTATTGGTTGACTTGGCAAATAGGAGGAGGTTCTCGAAAGTTTTTATTGCAAGTTTCCTTGCGAATTGATATATGAAGCTGAGAACAAAATTTGGTGAAATTCAACGTAGGAAGGATATATGAACTCAATTAACCTGACAAACTGATATTTCTACTACATTACTACTATATATAGTATGGGTAAATATAGAATGGGAGATTTTATTAACAAGTGATTTAATATTACAATAAAAATGAAATATTGATATATAATTATAAAAATTAAATGTATAGTGTTTTATGTAAAATACTTACCAAACTTCCCATAAATTGCCACCTGTTCAAAAACTGGTTATGTTTAATAAGGTAAACCACAACTATTTATTTCATTGACCTCCCGTTGGCCAAAGTGCCATGAAGCTTCTATACGAATCCTCCCAGTTTTCTCTTTGCCACCCAATCCTAAGTAGTTTTCTATGTCAACCGCTCACATTACCCACCCGATTTGGCGGCACTATAACCATTTTCCATATTCATACTTTAAGCCCATACGCACAACTTCTCAACTGACATGCGGAACAATGATAATTTCCAACCGAAAACTGGCTTCCACGCTTCCATCCTCCAAAAAATACTCGAATGAGTAAAAAAGGAAACATTTTGGCTTTACCGTTAGCCAGCTATAACCCATCAATTATATTGTAATGATGTCTGGCTTTAGCTACTTCTGCTGCAGTCGCATCTTCAGAAATCATGAGCAGGAATGGCAACTGTGCAACATGCTCATTATCAACGTCATCATTGGGCGGCTATTTGGGGAAGGGGACATTAGAATGTGGTCGGAGTCACAGACCATTCGAGTTCGAAAAGGAAAACTACTTATAGCACTGATGAGAATCGCGCCCGCCAAATCCACGCAGCTTCCAGCAGCCTGACACTCGCGGCTGCCAATCGATCCACTCAAAGAAATTGTTATGCATTGTAGGTTAGGAAATAAAGGGCATCTTTATAACGCAGCATTGAAGGCCAATATAAAAACATCGTATTGTATTTTCACGATACAATATATTAAAGATTAAATTTAGAATTCAAAGGGAAAATGTTATGTTTACATTATATATTAAAACAAGAGAGAACGCTATAGTCGGGTGCCCCGACTATCAGATGCCCGTTACTCAGGTAAAGGGAGTGCGAGGGAGATGGAGATAGAAACTTTGATCACGCATAACTTTTTAACGAATGGTCCGATTTGAAAAATTTCTTCTACATTTCGATAGGTATTGATAAACACAATAAAACTGCATTTTTACTTTTCCGAAATATTAAAATTTTTAAAATCGTATATAAGCGATTGTGGGCGTTAAAGGGGGCGTGGCACCATTTTGAAACAAACTTGCGCTGCGTAGGAACTTCTTAAATCTACATGCAAAATGCCAATCTTCTAGCTTTTATAGTTTCCGAGATCTCAGCGTTCATACGGACAGACAGACAGATGGACAGACGGACAGACGGACATGGCTATATCGACTCGGCTAGTGACCCTGATCAAGAATATATATACTTTATAGGGTCGGAAACGCTTCCTTCTAGCTGTTACATACTTTTGCACGAATACAATATACCCTTTTACTCTACGAGTAACGGGTATAATTATCATGCGGAAAATAATAACCACCACCAATTTCAGGAAATACATTTTTAAACCCTTGCAGAGGGTATTATAATTTCAGTCAAAAGTTTGCAACGCAGTAAAGGAAACATTTCCGACCCTATAAAGTATATATATTCTTGATCAGCATCACCAGGAGAGTCGATCTAGCCATGTCCGTCTGTACGTCAGCCCGTCCGTCCGTTTCTACGCAAACTAGTCAGTTTTAAAAAAGTTGTCTTTCCTTTGCAGGTAGTATATAAGTCGGAACGAGCCGGATCGAGCGACTATGTCATATAGCTCCCATAGGGACAATCGAAAAAAAGAAAACAAAAAATTATAACTTTGTTGTTTTTAAATTTTTTGTCCCTTGGGATTTGGTAATGTTTTAATATTATTGAATTACGGTTTTAATTAAATTAAAATCGGACAACAATATCATATAGCAGCCATAGAAACGATGGCACAATGCAGCGCCAAATCGACTTAGCTTCATTGTTTTTAGCAAAATAGGCATAGAAATCGAAATGTAGTCGATTTGTAACAATGCAAGGGTATATATTCGACTTGCCGAAGTTTGCTTTCTTTCCTGTATCTATCAGTTTTCGTTCATATTCAAACTGATAACACTAATGTGTTGCATCATATTTATATAATATAATGTTTTTGTCATTCTTACAAAAACCTTCTACCATTCTCAGTGTATCCTTTGGAACTTTTTACCCGTTGAAGCATTTGCATTCGAGTGTCCACTAAACGTCAATTAAGTGGGCTTTACCCACTACTCGCGATGGCCAGGCAGTTTGATTTGGTAGCCACTCCTGCTCCATCTCCTCCAAGCTCTCCCCCCCACACTTTTCAGAAGTTTCGCTCCAACTGCGATTTCCACTTTGCCCAGTACAAATACATAACATAACATAACATGAAGTAATAGCTATAACAATATTGTGTACACAAGGCTTTTGAGGGTGATTCGGAGGGGATTTGGAAGGGCTGTCTAGGCGGGTAGAACCTCCATTGCCGGCATCTTCGTTGTCGTCATCATCTGCATGTGTGAGCCTCTCCCACCGACTCCTCCAGTGGTTTTCCCAGTGGTTTCGGTGGTGCGGTGGCGGTGGTGGCGGCTCCCTTTGTCATTTCGCCATGACGCATGCGTAACGTTCGATTTGATTCAATTAATGGACGGGAATTGTCTGTACGTGTGTTTTGATTGGGTTGGGTTCGTTTTGGTTTGGTTTTGGTTTTAGCATTGGTTTGCCTTTTTTTGCTTTGGTTTGTCTGTGGTCCAAGCAGACTGCGGGGCAGACATTTCAGTTGCTGATGGATGAATATGTGGATGGAGTTGGACATAAAGTCGGAGATGTAGCAGAAGCTGGAGTGCTCTGCAAACACATGAAGTTTAGTGGGCTCACCGGCATGGCAAGTGAAGTTATACTGAGAATAGTCATGTTCTTCTTAGGAGTAATTGAAAATAGGTTCTTATAAATACATTTTCACAGAATTATTGATAATCGGATAAATAGAGAATTAATTAATAAAAATAATTAAATATCTAAAACAAAACACTACAAATAACATAGGCCTGTACTTTTAAGACAATGAAACACATATCATTTGTATCCCAATTACAAATTAAACTCAAATGCAAAATAAATGGAAGCTCTAACCCCGATCATGATTAATTGCAAATTCATTTCGAATAGTCTGAGCATCAATCACGAAATTCCAAATACGCCCCTAACCAGCCCCACTCCCTCATTAAAACTAACCACTCATAATGATAATCTTTAAAACTAAACGCCCGCATTGTCGCGTCAAATGTATTTGCATTCAACGAAAAAAATAGCACTTTAATCTTTTCTTTTGACTGGCTCATCATATTTTCCATAGTCAGACTCCACAGCTTTATTTGTCAAGTGCGCAATTATTTATAGTTATTTTTGCCAGCATCTGGAGACGCCAACGCCAAATGGCGGCAGCTGGGAGTTTCTAGTTGGCAGTTGTTCGTTACCAACTGTTGTTGCTGCGGTGCATAATAATACCAATTGCTGTTGCTGGCGTTTTACGTTCGTCGCAGCGGCAATTAACAATTTTTAACCTTGTTGCGCATGATGCATGTGGCTGCGAGTGCACTGCGATCATCCCATGATCCGCTGTTGATGATGATCATTACGACGAGATGAGATGCTGATGCACTCGAACGGGCGCATAAAAAGCTGCTAAATGTTTTCGATTTTCATCTTACGTCGAGTGCTCTTCGATTTTGCAATTAAATCGATTTCAATTTCGCAGCGTTCCGTGTTTGCAAATATGAGACATCATCGACCTCATTTGCTTAATCGATTGGTGATTGCAACTGCTGTCGTTTAGTATTATTAATTACGAGAGTTTTATTTGACTTTCAATGATGGCCAGGCATACACTGTCTTAATTTATGGATTGTTGCAGCAATTCGATATTCTCCTTAGCATTTATTTAACTTGATTTCACAAACCTCTGACATCGATGGGTCGGCTGCTAATGAAGTGTGCATTTCGCAAGTGTTTTTCCATACTTTTTATGTTCCTCCGCACTCAAGCCATTTAATTTCTCATTTAAAATTAACACAAATTCCGAAACAGCTTACTGGAATACCTCAAATAACATTTACCCTGTTACCCACAGCAACATCAGCAACAGCAACATCACAAGTGCAATCAGAGTAGCGTGACTTGTTGTTTGATTGTTGCTGCAAAAGTGAAGGTTGAAAAGCGGGAAAGGCGACAATTAATGCTCTAATAAAGCCAAAGAAAGATGCAACACGAGCAGCAGCAACTACTGCAGCAGCAGCAACATGCGACAGCAGCAATTTTAGTTGCAAGTGCAACATCTGCCACAGTCGTCGCGTGAATTTCCGTTAATAATGTTGTCAAAGCGTTCCGATGCGTTGATAAGCGCTTTCGTTTTGACGCTATATTATGTGGGCGTGGCCGATGGGAACGCATCAGACTTTGTGACAATGGGCGATCTGCGCAGGAGCAGGCGTGGCCAGTCGGATTCCTCGCGTCCCGGTGGCATGATAATGGAGGGCGTTGGATTCCAGTACACCATGCGGTTCCAGCCGGGCTTCCACCTCCACAATCTGGCCCAGCAGCAGGGAGGGGATGGGGGTATGGGAGACGGCACTGTGACGGAAGCACCTATGCCCATGCCAACTCCTGGGACACCACCTCCAGAACCAGCTCCCACGGAGCCAGAGGAGCCGGAGCCCACGATACCAACTCGACCAACATCCGCTCCCTCAGAGGTACTAAATGATTTATACCCAGGTGTTACAGAGATTTCTGGAAACAGAAGTCCAATCGATTATAGCATGAGATGTCTATTAATGATTGCTGAAAAGACCAAGGAACCAAAGTGTTAAGACAAAGTGGAGTTATTTAATCTAAAAACTCTGAAAAGCCTTGTTATACTGACCTAGATCTGTAAAATGTTGCCATAAATATTTTGAAGAATTTGTAGAAAACTGAAACCTCAAAAAATGTGTAGAGTACTATTACGAAGTATAAAATGTAAGAACATTCTGTTAAAGGTTACAATTTATGTAATGTTTTAAATAAATTATTCTTTATGTCAAACCGTAATTGTTGCTTCTAAGAAGTGTTTTCCCTTTTTATTTTTAATAGGAGGTATGACCACAATACTCATTCAATAAGTTGAAATGTGAATAATGCGAAATAATGTGAATGCGAATAAGTAATCTTCCCTTGCACCCTAATCGTTCGTATTCCCCTTTTAGGATACACCACCAGCCACGGATTCCATGATGATGGTGCCCAAGCCGAGTGATTCGCCGGGAATGCAGCCAAGTCCCAGTCCCCGGCCCAGTGCGAAGCCATCGATGAGACCGCCAGTGCCCACGCCACCATCCAGCACCAAGACCTCCATTATGCAGCCCCATCAGACCCTGAAGAACCTCCTCTTCGGCTCGCCCGTCGAGGCGAATCTCATCCTGAAGACACCCAATGCACCGCGCTCGAAGGGCAAGGGCTTCCTCAGTCTGTTCGAGGTGATCAAGTTCCCCAATACGAAGTGCAGTGTGTCCATGGGCGACATCCGGAGCATGGAGGGCGTCTGCTACCACGAGTTCGAGTGCAAGAGCCTCGGGGGGATTCCCACCGAGAGCTGTGCCGAGGGCGTGGGCGTTTGCTGTGTGTGTGAGTGAAAGTCCGCCGATCGATTTGCACGAGATCTAACATCTTTCACTTGCAGTCGTCAATGGATGTGGCGATGTAACCAGCCAGCAAATCCTCTACTTCGAGAGCCCCAACTATCCAAATGCGGTGCGCGAAATGATGATCTGTGTGCTGATCATCAATGTGAAGAAGGGAGTGCAGCAGATGAGACTGGATTTTCAGATGTTCGAGGTGGGTGTTCTAATTTCGTATGCGTAGTCCTTGGCTTAATTGATTTTCCACGATCTCCAGCTAAGTCGTCCCACCAATGGTGATTGCCTAGACGATCAGTTTATAGTGTCGGGACACAATACCAATTTTCAGATTCCCATTCTGTGTGGCATCAACACGGGCCAGCATAGTAAGTAGTTCCAAAATAATGAATTGCAAATAAAGATCAATCTTCCTCATTTTCCAGTCTACATCCATGTTGGTGACTCGAACGAGAGCAAACTCTATCTTTCGGTTTTTATGAAGGTCTCGGGAGGAGGTCGATCATTCAATATAAAAGTCACTCAGCTGGAGGACGACCTGGCTCCTAACAATTGCCTGCAATATTTCCCTGAAGCCGAAGGACTGATTAAATCCTTTAATTACGATACAGATGGTTCCATTGTGGACAACCGTGAAGCTACTTATTTTGTAAGCTTAAAGGTTTTATTTTTAATTAATCTATTAACAGAGTGGTTTGATGCAGAACAATCTCAATTATGCCATATGTCTGGCACGCTTGAAGAATGTCTGCAGTGTGAGCTACAATACAGAGCAACTGGGTGGCGATCAGCCCGACTTTCAAATCGTCAACAAAGATGAAGGTACGAGATTTACACTAAACCGCTTAAATATTGCATTAAACTAATATTGATTTTCTTTGCATGCTTTGAAAGCCGAGAACGATTTGATATCCGATGGCCAGGCGGGAGCTGGGATCTTCAACTGCCCCGATGACTTTATAGCCATCAACTCGGTGCCGCTTTGCGGGGAGCGGTTCAACGATGGACGGGAAAGCGACGATTTCACCATGCACGCCACCGTTAGGGACACTGCCGCAGGTCCCATCATCCTGCCCTTCCGCACCGATGCCGAATATGTGGGTCGCGGCTTTCGACTGCTCTACAGACAGGAACTGTGTGCCTGAGCCGATCTGCATGTCGATCACTAGTTCACTAGATGCATATGTTCCGCTGACATTGGCTCTTACTTCACTATACCGTTTTTTGGTTTAAATACACTGGGGGCAAACATTTAGTAAAACAAAATAAAGCCCATTTATTTAAGTTATCCTTAATTGTAAGGATAAGGTAATATATGTAATGTATATTACATTTGTCGAACGGTATGGAAAACAATCTGAAAATTGTTTAGATAGTAAATACCAAAACTAAAATAATCGTCAAAGGAAATTCATTGTAAAAAAAAATGAATATTGTTTAGTAAGTAAATTAAAGAAAATTACAAAAAGCTAAATTTTGATGTCTTAAATAAATAAAAATATAATCTATTTATTGATTTGTCATTAAAATTAACATTTTAAATATAAAAATCTTAAAAGATACGTTTAAAAGTAAATGAAAAACCCAACTTAAAAAAGAGCACTAGTGGAGTGATATTACATTTTTGAATAGTTATTTAATTGAAGACTAAATGGTTTTTTCAGTGCACATGTGGAATTTAGCACGCTTTGGTCAACTGGAGGGCATTTGTGTTGGCAACTTGGGATTGCGCGGTGCCTTTATGGGAACGACAGTTTCCGTTCCCAGTGCTGCCCCCGTGTTAATGTGTTTTATGTGATTCGAAGCGATTTGGTGGCTTAGTTTTGGCGCCGCCCACCCACCGACTGGGCGGTCCGCGGGTTCGTAGTTCACACACCATCCGCAAGGGACCACAGTCGATTGGCGTTGGTGTTCGTTGACAGGTTTATTTCAAATTTTCACGTCTCGCCTGGGCAAAAGATACGATACGATACTATGACGAAATCTATAACTCGCCGCATCGCCATCGTCGCCGTTCGCTCGATTCGCGGTCTCTATGCTTAAATTTGTAATAAATTTGATTTTTTCCTTTCGATTGCGATTTTCCCTTGGCTCGGATTCGTTTGCCGCGCTGCTGCATGATAAAGTCACAATTAACCCACGCCTTTTTCGTAGCGGTACTCTTACATATATTTGCATATCATTTTGATTGTTTGGATTCGGGCTGAACTCTCGATGCCGTCGCTGACATGGTGATGACTAAAAGTGTGCAGCACCACCACCATCAGTACCAGTACCAGCACCAGCACCAGCACCACCGGCAACAACAACTAGACCAAAGCAATCATGAAAACGACAACAAAAATAACTTCTCGACCAACAATAGAAAAAAAGAAGAGGACAACAACAAAAAATGGCATATTGCATGCACAAGTTTTGAAGTTTGTCATCAAATGACGTTTTGGGATACCTTGGACAACTTTATGTGGCACTGTGGTAAAGGATATTAAAAGAATTATGTTTAAAGAATAAATGTTGGCTTACCGGCTTTACCGGAAATGTATCATGGATTCTTTTTTTTGGAATACTCCTTTTCTTTCTGATCTTAATTGATAAATCTGTTTCAGCCATTTATGACTAATAATTGTCTATAAAAATGATATATTTAAGCATCAAGCCCTTTATTAATAAATGTATTTGTAAACAGTGTGTTTTCTTTTTGGGAATAACTATCGGACTAATTGTGCAAGTCAGTACCTTACCAATATCCCCAATATTATCCCAATTCAGAATTAGCCTTTAAGCTTTAAAGTCTTATAAATCTGGCTAATTAATAATAACCCACTTAATCATTCTAAGCCCACTGTGCCCTCGCAGCCCAGCAACGCTAGCATAAATAAATAAAACCGTAAAGCCAAGAAAAAAATGGTATAAAATAAAAATCCCTTCAGGGCGTAACGTGCACTACATTAGAAATTGAAAATCCACCGACGCCGCCGACAACAACAGCAAGTCCAATGACTATGACTATGACGATGACGATGTGGATGACGATGACTATGAGACGAGGACGTCGACAACCAAGACGACATCGACTCAAAGACAACATGAGAATCTTTTTTGCCATGGCAAACCGAAAAACAAAAAGCGCCGTTTGATGGAAATTAGGAAACTGAAATTCATTTTTTGAGGTTTGGTTTGCTTTTTGGCCGGGTCTTGTCTGTTTGGGGGTGTGGGAACCACAGGGAAATGCTGGCAAGCGTGCATGGCAACGCCTTTTGTCACAGTTGCAATTTTTGTTTTTGTGAGCAGACCGCCAGCATTTGCATAATTTAATCAATTCGGAATGAGACAAAAGGTGAAAACTTTTCAGCTTTAATCCTGCCCGATTGCCAAACATCACGGCCTAAACAGACAGCCAGAGATCTCAGGAATCGGTGTTTTAATTGCCCACACCCCCTCGAAAAGAAAAAAACAGAGACTCCACAGTGGAAAACGGCCAACCACAGTCCTGTCCATTCAAGGCATTCAGTTAGCATGCCAGAGATCCCAATCACATTCGAAATCTCCATCGCCATCGCGGAACAGATCAATGCGGAGAGTGGGACACCGCGAAGATTGGTAGATTGAACCGACAAAATATTGGCAAAAATGCCAATAAATTTTTGACAAGACATTATACAAATGCTAACTTTATTAAATGGCTCTTGATCAGACCACCGCTTGAGTTCGTTAATTGTGGACTTATCGATGGAAACAAAGAATTCAAAAGGGGAAAATGCAGTCGGCATGCGCCAACCACTTGAATAGAGCGATCAACCGGACTCCAACTCCTCGTTATCGCTGGGAGTCTATCTAATGAGCCGGGTATCTTTGCCCGGGACTGCAATTAATTTATTAACCGACAGGACAGTTGATCATTTGGCCGGTGGAGCTTGAATTTAATGGTCGTGTAAACGGCATGAGGTCCTGTTTGGGTTCAAAATGAGTATTATTTGAATGCTGCAGACCTCGACGGGGTCATAAAATGTTACCAAGGTTGTCGTAACTTAAAGTAATTAGTCACTGTTAAATTAATGGCATGTCCATCTGACAATCTGGATTCCTTGGCTTGGAGATTGCCACGTATCATGCTTAATTCGATTTGCTTTTATAAAGACCAATTGGGAAACTTAATTAATCAATCGATGGTAGGTATTCTTTTTAAAGACGATTCAATGAATTTAATGAAGCCCTAAATGAAATGTTTCGTTAATTTAAGATAACTTTTCTATTTCTTTTCTGAAATTAAGTTTAAATAGTTTAGTTTTCTTACACACCATGAAAAACTGTTAACCCTTATCCTGGAGTACTTTTCAACTTAGAACTCAAAAATTGAAATAAACTTGGTAGATCTAATGTAACTGCTCAACTTAGATGGTCTAACTCAACTCTAATTTTAAGCGCGACTGCCAACCCATTGTTCCAACAGATGACCTCTGACCCACAGGGCGAAAACAATCATCTTGGGCGAGATTCGTAAAGGATTATTATATGGGCACCCACTCAGACGTATGGTTTTTTGGCTTTGAAGACTCGCCCATGAGCCGATGCTTTTGGCCAAGAGGAAGGTAGTAACCGAAATGACACCAACACATCAAGTGAACATTTTATGATTCACGCTTGCATTAAAATCTCATCTCGAAGCGCGGAAAACAAATCGCACAAAAGTCTATGAAACGTAACCACCGAAAGGAGGAATAGGGTTTTTGTTTTTGTTTTTTTTTTTGGGGGCAGGGGGCCAATGAGGGTTAAACAACGGACTCGGTGCGCAACTTCACGCCGTAATTAAACTGTCGTTGGTCGTGTAGTACAAGCGCTCAAGCATTCAGCCGTCCAAAATCCATCCCATTGCCATTTAAAGTTTCTTTTACTTAACAGATTCCACTCCCCACCTTCTGCCACATGTGTGAGCGTCGTTTTTCACACTATTTTCTACTAATTTAACGATTTTGTTCGACTCAACGACGAATCGGTCCAGCGCTGGTCTCTTCTCCACTTCGCCATGCGATTTTATTGCCGCACTTTTAGCACATCCCGCCTGGCCATTTATTTACATGTGTAAAAACGCTAAGTGTTTGCTGCCGGTAAACTTACAATGGAAATTGGCACATGAGAGGTTTTTCTCAGTTTCATTTTACATAACTTAACTTAGCGTAAAACTGGCCAGGCATTGTTTTAATGTTAATGGACTTTGAATAAAAATTATTTTTCAATTTAAATCATGTGTTAAAATTCAATATGAAAACATTGTTTTATATTTTATAGCATATATCCTTTTTTCAAACGATAAATTGTGCTAATAGATAACTTACAAATTTGTTTAATTAGTAGGAGCCTTTTTAAAGCAAAAACAGTGTTTTTCTTATAATATAGAATGACCTAAGCCCAAGTCCATCTTACAACTTTAGTGGCACATTTATCAAAACATCAACACCCAGCCAAAAAAGGATCCTTCCCAAATTTGCGGCTACCCATTTTGGTGAATATGTTGCATGTTAAACATTCGACGGAAGATAACAAGGGGCTGGAAGTCCAGAAGATGGAAACCAAATGGGTTTCAAAGCGAGAGAGGAACAGACAGAATGTGCATAAATCGCGTGAAAAATGTGAAAGAAGAAATAACATTTTGACACCGAAAAATAAGAGGAAAACTCAGCGCGGCGCTGACTAGATGATGATTATGAGTATGAAAAATTAATGATAGTCACAGCATGGCAACAGTTGCACGCACACGAGAAAAAATAAAAGGAGAATGAACGAGGGGGCAACGATGTAAATAGGCAGATTAAGCATACGCAACGTTGGCCACTTTGGCCAAGCCTTGTCAGCGTCAATTTTCCAAGGCTTATCCGTTAGTTACACACACAAATGGCAAACTGCAGACGGCAGGCAAAAGCAACAGCTTTCCACTCTCGGCATTTTTAATTTTTATTACCATTTGCCTGATTTTTGCATTCAGTTATGGCTCTTACTTTGCATTGCCACATTCTCCCCACAAATCTCTCTCTATTTCGCCTTCTCCCGGCACTGCGTGCATTTTTCAACGGCTCAGTAGCCAGGTCACACAGCTAAACTTTCTTTCTTCCCCGATTCACCATCAACTTTAACTCCACACTGAGAAGAA